CCCATATTTCAGATAAAATGGTTTAGGTGTATTCTCATTCAGGTATGTTATTTGCTGACGATCCTGAAGATTCGATCGTAGGAACACAACTGCACTGTTGCTTAATCCACAAAATTTCTCAAAGTCCACGTAGTCAAGCTTTGGTTAAAAAGTTTCGTGAAAGGGATTACTATTTGGTTCTGTATATTTTCGATCAGTATGATGTTTATGCCATAGTGCTCAGGTGTTACAGTGTTTTCTATGGATCTAATTGTGTCTCTCAGCTCAATGAAAGTAGTTTCCCGGAACTCAAATGACAAATTTCTTGGTATTTTAGCTTTCTTGGGAGTTGACACAGCGTCTGAGTTAATATTTTTACATATACCTTCCACTATTTGTACAAAATATTCATAAAGGTTGTCAGAATTAAGTGTAGTCCGTGATTTTGGCATATCATTCATTTTATTTAGGCTATTTATTATTTTCCAGGCACTTTTTGATAAATTATCAGATCGTTTTATATGCTTAGTTGTCATGCCTGAGTCTTTCAGAGTATAGAATTTTTTCTTCATAGATTTTACGATAAGACTGCTATTTCTCATTGGCACATTGTAAATATGGTTATCTAGCGTGTGTAGCCGTTCTCGCATTTTACATAGGTCTATGTTAGACCAGGTAATTTTGGATTTATTATTTATCGTCCTCTTTGTTATCGTTGTTCCATTTTCGCATTTATGTCTGCATTTTTTGATCATCAATAAACTTGAGATCTACGTCTATAAAGTCACTGAAAAAGTTGAAAAGACCATTTTGTGTTGCAGGTCTGAGTGTGATAAGGTTCGGTTATATAAGTGAGTTTCTGGGACCATTGTGTTTACTCCATTTACGTTGAATGTACTTACGATATTGTCGAGACAATTTTTGAGACGAGTAGGTTTACAATTGAGAACGTTAAGGTTAAACGTTGACACAAAATCTACAAATTCAAAAGTTATAATGTCATCAGAATTAATTTTTTTAGTGTAGTGACCAAATAGGACTACGTTGTTTCTATGGGTCTTTATAAGTATTAGAATTTTTTCCAAAATTGACAAGACATGTTCAGATCTCCGTTTGGTGAACGGTATAGTGCTATGATTACAGTTTTTATGTTTTTTTATCCTTACCCCGGCCACTTCGCAGTATAGTTCTTTTGATAGTGGTGTTATTTCGTCAAAAAGTGATTTTTGCGACAAAAATATGCCTCTGCATATTCAATTTTATCAGAAATTTTTCTCTAAGAAAATGTTCGCTAAAACATAGTACATCGATATTCGTAGAAATGTTAAAGTTTTGGTTAATAGAGACTATAAATCTTATCTAAATTAGGTGCAGTCTTCTTTAACACATAATCCTAAGAAATTTTGGAAATTCTTTCATGACAAAAAAGGGCGAACACGAATTCTCTGTAGAATGCAGTTTGATGAAACAGATCTGTCGACCCCCAAACAAATTGTCGAAGCATTCAAAAGCTTCTTCTCCAGCGTTTTCATTTCATCGTCTATTTCTACTGCTGATCCTTTTGCAACATCAACTAATTGGTCATCTATAAATCTTACTACTATATCTGATGAAGAAGTTTACTCAGCTATAAAAAAATTAAAACCCAACATGAGTGCTTGCTTGGACTGTGCATTTCTTATTAGTGACTGCTCCAATGCGCTACTTGCGCCTCTAAACCTTATTTTCAACAAGTGTATTCAAACTAACACATTTCCTGATGTTTGGAAACTTGCAAGAATTTGTCCAGTTCTTAAATCGGGTGAATCATCGAATATACGTAATTACAGGCCCTTCTCAATATTCTCAAATTTTGCAAACATTTTTGAAAGTGTAATTTACAGTTCCATATATCCTTGCGTAAAAAACTTATTTTCAGTCAAACAGCATGGCTTTATCCGTGGCCGTTCAACAATCAGTAACCTCACTTGCATCACAGAGTATTTATCAAATTGTTTAGATAATAATTTACAGGTTGATGTAATTTACACCGATATATCAAAAGCATTTGACCGCATAAATCACATTAATCTTCTGTATAAACTACATCAATTTGGTTTTTCTACTCCTCTCTTATCTTTGTTTACTTCGTACTTACATGACAGAAATTTGAGTGTTGTCTATAATAACTGTAAATCTGCTAATTATTTACAATCAGGGTTCAAACTTGGGTCCACTTCTCTTCCTTCTTTACGTAGATGATATTACTGCTAATATCTCTAACTCTCACTGTCTTTTATACGCAGATGATTTAAAGCTTTACAGAGTTATTAATTGTGAAGAAAATTGTCGACTATTGCAGGAAGATCTTAACAGAGTTAGTAGATGGGGTGATAATAATGATTTTCTATTAAACACAGATAAATGTTTCGTATTCTCGCAATCTCAACGTACTACATTTTGATTACTTAATATGTGACACAAACCTCAATAGGTCTGACTTTGCAAGGGATCTTGGAGTAATATTTGACATGAAACTAAGTTTTAATCACCATATGAATCATGTTGTTACATCGTCTCTTAAAGTATTAGGTTTCTTAATTCGAAATACAAAATCATTCACTGATCGTAAAGCTCTTATGTCATTATTTTATTCATTGGTTCGCTCCAAATTTGAATACGCATCGATTATATGGTCGCCATTTTACAATTATCAGTCACTCAATTTAGAATCTGTACAGCGACGCTTTTTAAAGTATTTGTATTTTCGAACTCACGCTGTGTATCCCCCAAATGGATATTCACAACAACTGTTGCTCTCGGAATATCATATTGGGTCCCTTCGCTCCAGACGTAATACTGCTGGTGTAATTTTTTTGAAAAAACTTTTAGCGGGCACCATTGACTGCAGTGACTTATTGTGTCAATTATCGTTTAACATTCCTAGGCCTGAAAGTAGAAATCCAAATCCGTTCAAATTACCCCATTGTAGGACTAATTTAGGGTTAAATTCACCAGTATACAGGATGTGCAAATCTATGAATCAAGTAGCAGACCGTTATGACATATTTGTTTCAAGTATTAGTGCAATTTTACGCAACTTTAGTGATGTGAACTATACTGTTTAAAGCAATATGATATTATATTACTTAATTTTTATTTTATATTGGGGGTTCAGATTTAGAGAGCACTGCACTGTATTTTGTAATTTGTGTAATTATTTCTTTAATTATGTACAATTTTTTTTCTTTTCTGTGAATTGTATCTTAATTTAATTATAATATATTGTCCTGTCATTGGATAATAATCTGTTGGGCAATAGAGTCTTATTATTATTATTATTAATATTATTATTATCTACAGTACACGCACTATGTTAAATCCTAATAAATGTTTTATTTTTCTACGATGAAATGAAACAGGCTCTCTTATGCCTTGCACAGCCTAGTTATAGTAGCCTGCATAGATATTGTAGCCGTCTATAGAGTCGAAATTTGCGAATAAAAATAAAATAAAACCGGCTCAAACGGAGCCGACGACGGCTTGCAAGGTCTGTCACTACGGCACACGTCGCATCATACAGGGGTGTATTTAAGGCAGTTTGCACAAAATCTTAGGGTCACTGTAATCTTACTATTTTCTGTCTACGACAAACGATTTGTCACACAGCTACGAAACCGACCATCTAGAGAAAGATGGAAGTTTGAAAATGTATTTCAACAAGTGTAATAGCCGTTTGGTGCAACGCAATTGGTTCAAGCAAAGTAAAATATGACAGGAAACAAACAGTCCACGTGGACTAGTTTATAGCCGTGTTTGCTGCTAAGATGACCAGGTTTTTCGCTCCACCTACCTCCGCAACGTTGAATATACCATACCACAACTTGTGTACAGTGAACAGAGTTTCGTTTTTATTGACGAGATTGAGCTAAGAAATTAAACAGATTATATCATAACGGAAAAGATGACATTTAATATTAAATACGTCTCTGTGCAACGTGTGCCAGAGTGACATCAGAATTTGCAAGCCACCGTCGGCTCCGTTTGAACCGGTTTTATTTTATTTTTATTCGCAAATTTCGACTCTATGGACGGCTACAATATCTATGCAGGCTACTATAAACACAATTTAGCTAGGATGGCAGCAGAATAACTTCTGTCCCATGCTACCTGCCTTAAAGTGAACCTTGACGCGTTTTTCAATAAATTACAAATTAGTACAATACTAAAATAACCTTTTCCAGCAAAAAGTAGTCATCTGGTGCTTCGAGAAGAAATCTGATGATTTGCTCATTTGTTACGATTTTTGCCTTTTTTGGTTTATAAAATTCAGATTTGCGTATCAGGAACATAAAACGTTTTCCATATCTGTAACAAACGTAACTTTTGAGCAATAAGACGTAACTCAAAATGACAAATACTAACCCAGAAATGTCGATTTCTTCATGTAATTTCAAGCAAGTCTTTAACGTGGAAATTTTTGTGTATAAGCTGTTTGGCGAAAAATTTTTGCCTAATTGTGACGGGCTCCAAAACTTGCACTTTTTGAACGTGGTATGGATATAGGTCTTTTTTTTTAATGTACGATGTACTACAAACTGTGAAACTCCAACTTCAGCTGCAAGTCGGGGGGTGCTGATGTCGGGCCTTTCTTCGACGCGTTCCAAAATTTGTTCTTCAGCTTGCAGTATTTTTTCGGTCCTATCACGACCACGATCGTGAAAATGAGGCTTGAAGGTACCATGATCTCAGCGATGCTGTACGATTGATATAAATGTTCACGCACACCATAAAGCATTACCATGTCGAGGCGCTCTGAATTGGAAAAATTCACCATTGTCAAAGACGTGAAACGAACACACGCGGAAACCTACTGACCCATGACTAATCCTTATCGTGTTTTTGTACGTTCTTTATTAGTGCGCCGCATAGAAAGCCCTACAAGTGAGGGTATTCTATGGTGTGCCGCTTTGCACTGAGAGTGCAGACTACTGTTAAAATTGGCATCCAGACACGCCCCTTAAACATAAACGTGAGACGAACTAGTGGGTGAGATCCTAAGGAAAAAAGAACGTATTTGAAAAGGAATTAAAACGATTCGGCAAATTTTATTTATAGTCAATTAATACATATACTATCTAATTTAAAAAATTCCAGATTAGAGCACCTTTTAGCAACGAACTTGGCGCCAACACTGTTGTGACAAGTACACCAATTTATTCAACAACATTTGTAGTCACATGAAGGTATACAAATTAGATGCAGCACTTACTATTCATGTATTTCCATAAGTCAATTGCCTTCAAATGACACCATAGTATTCAAATAGCTATAAAACGACAATGCCGTCTTAAAAATCTAAAATCATAGAATGATATAAAAAAAAATAACATGAAAGATCTCTAACCTGTGTAAAAGTTTTCAAGTTTATTAACACTAACCCGAAGCCGCTAAAAACTATTCTTTTTTGAGAACGTGAAATAACTAGAACGATGGATTTTCGTAGTTCAGAAACGTTTGTGTCGTACCATTTTGAATTGTAAGCAGCGTTGCCAACATTTTCAGACTAAAAAAAACAATGATAGAGCACGTGTAAATATTATTCAAATCTCTTACAGCTTCTGACAGCAATTCTGCGTTGAAACAGTAAATAACTGTTTCGACAATCTCCATCAGACAGTATCCTAAACACTTGAGTTTATTTGGGAGCAAGAATTCTCTGAAACAAAATTAAGATCAAAAATTTTTCTATATAGTACCATAACCTACTTCTGTGACACTATAAATAATTGCATGCAAATGATGGCCGTCGAAACTATAACTTGGTTAAGAAAAATTGCATTCGTATAATGGTTAATTTCTTGGCAGTACCTAGAATACACTACTTTAAAACGTTACCATTTTCCTGCTAACTTACTCCATCAGAAAATTTTGGTGATCTACTATCTTTTTAACCTCTTTCTCAAACCCTGCCTTGTTCTCAATTGTCAAATTTTCAAACTTGTGCGCTAGTAGCTTGAACTGTATCACTATTGGGATACAAATGGAACAGAAAGTGAGATCAGAACCATAAATGCTGCCTATAATGACCGGAATGAGGTACCAATAGGTCAAATTAATGTAGTGAAACCATCCCTTCGGAACATATACTCTGACGGGCAGATCACCGGTTAAAATCGGTTGCAGGAAAAAATTCATTATAACCAAAAATGTAATGACAATAAAATAGCGAACAAATTTTGTAGTAGTGGTGAGAATTGCATCGCATTCTTTGCGTATATCACCACTAAATTTTTCCACTGACCAAAATTTTGAGCGCTGTTGGAGAAGATAAGCCAGTTTATGTTTCTTGAAAAACATGTTTGGGTATTTACCCAAAAGCTAAAATTTGGGGTTAGTTTAAATTTTTAAGAAAAACGTACTTACGTGAATGTACAGGAACACAGTTTGGAGATTTTCGATTGCCTCAAAGATGTTCGTGTCGTAAGTTGTCGCCACACCGGTAATTGCAAGGGTCAAGATAACCATGAAACATGAATAATTTACACAAAAATATACATATAGGAGTTTAGAGCGAGAATCTGGATGTAAACCACACACCCTTAATAATTTCAAGGAATAGTACGTAGGATCCTTATTTGGAGAAGTCCTGTAATTTTTTTTTGTATTGAATTCAAATTTTTAGTTACAAAATGACTTACACGTACATTGTACACAAAACTTGATGAAACTGGAGGAAAATGTTAGAAATGTTGTCTTATATGAGGCTGGACTATTAATTAATCATAAATCAGGCTGGTTTTAAATGAGAAATGTGGAGAGAAATTATAAAGGAAGAATAATATTAAAGTAGCGTTCATTTAACATAAGAGATAATTACAAAGTTGGAAACTTAATTATTCGTGAAGGCGGTATTTATTTCCACTTTTAAGGAATTAATGTATGTGTATGCGACACTTTTATTTTAATTACAAGGGACAGTAAGATAAATATGAACAGAACTAAAATCGAATTGTAAACAATTCAGGTACGTCGTAGACGAAGGCCGATAATTCTGGAATCGATTAAAGCTAATGCTTTCGTGTTTTCCTTCCTGCAAAGTCTGTATGTTGAGGGTCGTGGCAGATGAAATATTATTAGTAAAAATTATAAAAAAGCTAAGAACGCTTACGTCAACTAGGAAAAATAGTTTGGAAAAAGATATGTGGACAAGAGTGATTCCAATTAATTAATTAATTGTTATGTTAACGTCAAGAACTTTCTACAGGAGATGAATAAATAAATTTTGAGCGGATAATTATTGTCTTCACTGTTGCTTTGTAACTCCCAAATGTATAAAATTTTTACTATCGATTTTTGTTTTTTACTTCCCGAGCGTAAGCCTAGAAAGTATTGTAATCGATTTCGTCGGCCGACCCTCTACTTTTACGTTTTCTCGACCTTTCATGACCCCTAGAGTACGAAGAAATAACTCTTCCGTTTCCGTCTGTCTGTCCGTCTGTCTGTCTGTCGTCCCGGATTTTTATTAGACGGATATTCGCGGAAAGTACTGTGCCGATTATTTATTGTCAAATTTTGTATTTATATTAGGAAGATAATGTAGATGGTAAAACGCTAACTAAAATTTGTCTAATCATCCTCACGAATAATGTGATGGAATCACTTCAAAATTTAGTCCTGTGTTTTGCGAAGACAAACTCATTCAAATCAAACTAATATCTACGTGACATTCTTTCAATGTGTAAACATAAATAAACACTTGAGCGTCAGATTGCTGTTACCTAGTGTTGAAGGACAAGTGCTGTTAGCCATGGATTGTTTTAAGTTCAACATGGTGAGTCATCAGAATCTGACAACGGACTGTCAGTCAGTAGCGTAACATGCAGACTTCAGAAGGGGATGGTTTTTTAATTTTTTTTTTTTAAATCGCAAACAATAACACACGGAATCATAAACTTAAGTGAACTGGTCAACACACTAGCACGAAGCCGAATGAATCTATTAGGGAATAATCTAAACCCATGCGTGTTTTGTTTAGATATTAAAAGAACCGAGGGACCCTTTTCTAACGAATCTTGGATATATCTGTTGTTTTCATTTTGCAAGAATTTTAAAAAATCTCTATTTCCAAGTGTATTTTTTTAGAAAATTTAAAAGAATCTTGAGAGCCCACTGGTGTTTTGTTTTGGAACAAATTTAAAAGAACTCCCGAAGCTCCTGGCATTTAGATTCAGAACGAATTTGAAAGAATCTTAAGGGCCTCTGGTGCTTTATTTTTGAAGGATATTAAAGGAATCTTGAGTACTCTTTTCTAACATATTTTGGAAGCCCCTGCTATTATCATTTTGAAAAAGTTTAAGTAAATCTCTCATTTCCGAGTGTCTTTTTTAAGGATTAAAAAAATTCTTGAGAACCCTTCGGTGTTTTGTTTTAGAACAACTTTAAAATAACCTCGACTGCTACGGGTGTTTCAAAACGAATTTGGAAGAATATTGTGAACCTGTACTGTTTTAATTTGAAAAGATATGAAAAGAACCTAGTGATTCTTTCAAAATATATAAAGATATTGCAACAACATTGGTGACTTTTTTCTAAAGAATCTTGGATGTCCCTGCTGTTTTCATTTTGAAAGTATTCGAAAGAATCTCTTTTCCGATCGTCTTTTTTTCAAGAATTGAAAAGAATCTTAAGAGCCCGCTGTTTTCTTTTAGAACAAATTTAAACCAACCTTGGACGCTCCCGGTGTTTAGATTCAGAACGATTTTAAAAGAATCTTAAGAGCCTCTGACGCTTTAATTTCGAAGGATATTAAAAGAATCTTGAGGACTCTTTTCTAAAGAATTTCAGATGCCCCCGCTCTTATCCTTTTGAAAAAATTTAGAAGAATCTCTGGGTTCGGAGTGTCCATTTTTAAAGAACTGAAAAGAATCTTGAGTACCCACTGGTGTTTTGTTTTAGAACAACTTTAAAAGAATCGCCGAGGCTCCAGGTGTTTAGGTTCTGAAAGAATTTTGGAGCCTCTGCTGTTTTGTTTTTGAAAGATATTAAAACAATCTTAGACACTCTTTTCTAAAGAACCTTGGATACCAGTGCTGTTTTCATTTTGGAGAAATTTGAAGGAATTTGGGGTACTAAGTTAGTGTCTTTTTTATAGTATTAAAATAATCTTGGAGACTCCTAGTGTTTAAGAATAAAATTGAAAGGACTCTCGAGATTCTCGGTGTCTTTTTTAAAGACTTGAAAAGAAACTTAAGATACCTAGAATAATTTCTCTTTAAAGAATATAAAGGAAGCTTAAGAACTCACTTTAGTTTTATTTTAGAACAAACTTAAAACAACCTTGGATGCTCCCGGTTTTTAGATCCAGGACGAATTTGAAAGAATCTTAAGAAACTGGTGATATTTTTAAAGGATATTAAAATAATCTTGAGGACTATTTCGTAAAAAATTTCAAATGTCCCCACTGTTATCAATTTGAAAAAATTTGAATAAATCTTTGGTTTCCGAGTGTCCTTTTTTAAAGAAGTGAAAAGTAGGTATCGAGAGATCCCTGAGTCATTTAATTTTAAAGAATATACAAGTAGCTTCAGAACCCACTGGTGTTTTGTTTTAGAACAACTTTAAAAGAACCTTGGAGGCTCCTGATTTTTGGTTCTGAAAGAATTTTGAACTCTCTGGTGTTTTATTTTTGAATTATACTAAAAGAATCCTGGGGACTCTTTTCAAAGACGTTTTAAAGTTAACGTAAGCTTGGTAAATTTTTAACCAAAATATATTTGTTTATCGCCCAAAAACTTGCTGAAGTCATCTCAAAATTTTGGAAAATAAATCCTAACTAAAATGTACAAAATATTATGAGTTTATATTTGTGAGTTATCATCACACACGTACATTTTAAAAGTGCTTATACAGGGTGGCTCAAAACTATTAATGAATGAGTCGATTTCTTTTATTGATCAAATCAAGAATGGCTCACCCCATTTTCTTGAAAATTCTGCATTAGAATACTGTTACTATTAGTATTACACTACACCTACCCAAATTGATATACATGTCTTTACAAAAATGTCATGTCACGTCATCACAAAATTTTGAAAAGAAAACCCATTTGAAATATACGCGTAGTGCGTTTTATTTTAACATTACATACGTACCTTTATTTTAAGTTATACGGGTTCTCATAAAAAAATGATATTCGAAAAATCTAATTTTTTAATTTTTCGAAAAACTGACTATGTTTTATTGTAATATCAGGGGCAAAGGAAGTTCTGTCGAAATAACCTTCGACCAATTTTTTTAGCTTGTTTACTTGGTTGTTATAAACAGGCATGTTGTTATGGTAATTGTGGAGATTTACACAAACATGATTATCATAAATCAAAAATTATTTTTGAAAATCTGTTTCAAAGTTGAAACTGAGCGGACAAAAATAATATGTTTAATGCTTGTTTTCCATGATCGTGTGAAAGCTTTACACTCACTGGAAAGAAACAACTTTTCTTTACTTATTAAACAATTACCCACAAACTTAGATGAGTTTAAAAAATTAAAACCTCTTAAATTGGGATAGCTCTCAATAATTTCTTGAAACTTCTCAGACACGACCACAGAAAAATAAGCTAACGAATGCAAGATTAGCTTCGGTCTAACTAAATTTAAAGCGAGTGCAGCCTATATCAAGGGTTAAAATTCCAAATTCAATTGCTGACGGAGCATGTGTCTTCTTGTTTGCCGTCTTCCAAAATAGTGAAGTTGCAAAAAAATCAATCATTTAAGACAACATTGTGTAAGTAACTGTAGAACGACAGAGCTGTCTTAAAAATCTGAAAAAAGAACATCATTAATGTACTTGATAAAATTTATAGTTCTACCTGTGTGAACGTTTTTAGATTAATCCAAACAAAACCAAAACCACTGAATACGATTCTTTTTTGAGACCTCTCGATGATTAAAGTTATAGAATCTTTAACATTAGTATCGTCAGATTCGTACCACACTGAGTTATAAGCAGCATTGCCGAGATCTTCAGACTACAACACAATTATTAACACGTTTTAAGTAGGTACTATATTTTTTCATATACAGCATCGGAAACCAGTTCAGCATTGAAACAATAAATTCCAGTTTCTACAATTTCCATGAAAGAATACCCCACGCACTTAATCTTATTAGGAAGCTTGAAACCTCTGAAAACTCAAAATTACAACCTTCGTTAAAACATATTAGTGTTGTAATACTTTTGCGAAACCACAAACAACTGCACACAAATAATCCCCACCGAAAGCAAGAACTGGTTAAGAAAAATTCCATTATTAAACTTGTTGACTTGGTTGCAGTAATCAAAAAGAAAATTCTGATGATCAACTAATTCCTGCAAGTTCTTTTTAAACTTCTCCTGACTCCTTTTATCACTAATCTGAGTCTTCTCCACGTTCCATTGTTCAATTTTATGCGCCAGAAGTCTAAATTGTACAATCACAGGAACCGTAATCGCGCAGAAAAGGGCATCAGACCCATAAATGCTGGCCACGATGCAAGGAGCCAAAGGCCAAAAACCGAAATGTATGTAGTAGTACCAACCTTCTGGAATATACACACTAACTGGTAAATCTCCACCCGTCAAATACGGTTGCAGATAAAAACTGAAAACCACACACGACGTCATGAACATAAAAACATTCACAAACTTCGAGGTCTTCTTTAACATTTTTTCGTACTGTTGCTTAATTTCTGGGTCGAAATCTTCAAGTTTAAGAAACCTGGCTCGTTGTTGGAGGATGTTCGACAGGATAGATTTGCTGTAGAATAAGACGTAGTGTTTGGCCAGGATGTGGATGTAGATGAATGTACTTTGTAGACATTCTACTACCATGTTTATGTCGTTGTCACGAATACCGACGACCACACCAACACTAGCTAGTACAATGACTGCAGAAACTATTGTGCAGTTCATCCAGAAGAAAAATACCAGGAAAGGTGTGACTTTTATGTCGGGGTGGACTCCACCAGCCCGAAAAATTTTAAGGATGTAGTAAGTCGGGTCAGTTTGTTTGGTTGACCTGAAAAATAAGACCCTAAGTAAATTTGTACCTCGGTAGATATTTTATTATACATAAACATTACTCACATCTTTCTAGTGTTGCATTCCCTGTGAATTAAATCGACAGCGTAGATACGTGACGATATATAGGTTGTACGCAGCAACAATTATAAGGTTAAAAATTCAGTGTTTCAATACCAATTGGATAATTATGGGTTATTTTAAATTTTTTTGAGGTGAATATTTCAACAAAATTCTGACCATATGTGATACATGAATTATTTAAAACAAGAAAAATGTTTTAAAAAAGGCAAGGAAAATTATTTGACGGCTCATATGATTTGTTCTCAGAAGTAGTTCGTTGAGGGTGGCTTTTATATACGGAGGGGTAATTAAGTAATCAATATGCACCTCTAAATAATAGTTACGACACGATTGAAGGCGTGACAGTTGCATGCTGTTTTGTTGGCAATTACACCCAAGAAAAATAAGAATGTCGTTAGTAGGTTATTACAATTGTTCCCTTTTATTTATGACAAAGAATTAAATGTTGACACTAAACAAATTTGTGCTGATGGGTGTAATTTGCATTGCCATATAATTTAGTGTCCCTGATTAAGAAAAACTAAGATAAAATTCTAATTTCATGATTTCAAAGGTTCAGAGATCCTAGAATAAGAAAAAGTAGCTATTGCGTTTTCATTGTTCTAAAAATATCATGCTAATTAAGTTTTATTTAAAATACCGAAAATACCTAGTATTGGAATTTTGTGCATCTTGGCGAAACTGTAATAAATAAGAAAACAAGGAAAAATTTATTTATTCATTCCTTTTGGCATTACACACAAGAAAATACTTGCCGTTTTGTTGCTTACAGTGGAGCATTTTTTTTTTTAATAGAACTTAAATTATGAAACTGAAAGACTGCTGAACCATTCTACCGCAACGGAGCAATTTAACGAGTCAGTAATCGAGATCTGAATAGAAAAATTGCCAACGATTGGACGTTGTATTTCGTCAATAAAGTATCAGTCGCTCAAGACAACGAACCATATGAAAAACAAGGCAGATACAATACTGAATTGCAGTTTTGCAAAACTGATACTTCGCTTTACTCATGCGAAGAAAGAAAAACTCCCAGGTGTGGGATTCGAACCCACGCTCTCCTTCGAAAATCAGGGCTTAAAGCTGCCGTCTTAGACCACTTGGGCAACTTGACTACAATTAGTTGTCTTATTTTAAATCTGTACTTTCCTATTACGCTTAAAAGAGATGTGGGGTTAGAATTCGCATATGCGCGAACACGACCGTTTCCGAAATCGAGCAAAACGTTCAATGAAAATTAGTGGGGCTTCTATCTCAGGTCAAATGGGGCCAAACTGAGCCAGGAGCCACACTGAACTCAAACGAAAAGGTCAGGTCAACCGAGCACACATCCCAATCTAAAGGGTTAATGATCGATCGATGAAAAGTGGGGCTCCTAACACAGGTTAAATGAGGTCAAACTGAGCTAGAACCCCCATTATGTAATTAACTAATATATCTTTTCTAAAAAATGTCAACTTTAGAAGACTGTGGTAGACGGGGGTATTATCAACAAGGTCTAAGGTTTTATTTGGATGGGAGGTATTTGGTTAAGGATAGACCGTCTTTACTATTTTTTGTCAGTTCCGAGTAATTGCTGGTATATGTCAGAGAGGAGATGCTGCCGTATCACGCATGATATAAGAAAAAAATCGTAGACATGAAAGAAATAAATAAAAGAATAATAAAGTTAGAACTTCTAGTAACTAATCAAATAAAAGAAATTGGTCCAAGATTACTTCGACAGAACTTCCCTCGCTCTTGAAGTACAGTCCAACAAGTCCCGTTTTCTTGAAAAATTATACAAAATTTTTGTTTGTTGATAACCTTTGTATAGTAAAAAGAAGTGTTATAAATGACATCTCAACCACGTGCACCGCGGTAGCCCAAATTCCAAGGTGGTGTCGTCCGCAGACATACGGACAATATGAAATATAATCAAAGCAAATAGCCAACGGAAAAGAGTGTATTATTATCAGTGTATATGCTTAACTTCTATGGTTTATGTTTATACATCGAAAGAATATCACGTAGAAATTTGTTTGATTCAAAGAGATGTCTCCTCAAAACAGAGACCTATAAAATGATCAATTAACCCACAATAGAACAAGATATTTTGAATATAATTGTTATTCTTATTTGATTATAGTTACTTAAGGGCGTGGATATTCTCACATTTTCTACAAAATAAGGTTCTTAATTTGATCATTAAAAAAATTAGTCGAAAGCTATAAGTATAATCCGACAAAACCAGTTCTTTAATTCTTTTTGTGATAATCGCTGTAAAGTAAAAACCATAGGGATAAATAACACCCTTTGTCCTTCAGCACAAGGCAATAACAATCTGAAGCTCAAGTGTTTATTTATGTTTATACATCGAAAGAATGTCACGTAGAAATTAGTTTGTGTTCTCATAATAGAGGACTAAAATTATTAATTAAACCACACTAGAACAATATGTAATGCGTATTTTCCAAAAAATGGGGTAACTGAGTCGTTTTTAGTTTGACCAAAAAAAAAATTTCTGATGACGTCATGTTCTTGATTGGTTCCAAGGAAAAGGGAAACTAAAATATTGGTCGAAAGACCAAATGATTCATCGAAACATCCACGAATTACTAAGAATGAACTGAACGATATTTGACGCCTGAATCAGCCAATCCAAATAAGTATAAAAATATTTCTACTATTTCTCTGGGATCAAGCAATATTTTCTTCCTCTTTGGACTGCGGTTAGAGACATCTAACAAATCAACGTGAAACAAAACAAGACACTTGCGGAACCACCTTAAGCTCTGGTTCGATTAACGAACGAGGGTTCTAATCCTGCACCTGACATGACAATGTAGTTTATTTTTTTTTGTAATTATAATCCATAAACCAAATTAGATCACCAACATTCATAAAGCGTCATCTACTGTTTAATGGCAAAACCGTATACCAAACTGTCAGCATCCAAAACTTCTTAACCAAACAACCAACATCAAAAATTGAAAATCCCTAAAGGACCATGTACAGACAAATTAAAAAACTACCCTTCCCCCATGACGCAATCAACTTCCATGACGTCACATCTCTGATTCAACACACATCACACTTATAACGCCATACCAACGACAAAAGGTCACGTGGCTTTGACGTCAGACCTCTTTCTGTACTACTAAGGAGGAAATTTTCGCTGCGCCCTGCTTTTATTTATATTATGTACATCATCGTTTTCCGGGTTAGAACCGTGTAAATTGAGTTTTTGGGCTCAACGTTTCCCACACGTTCGTAAGTGGCATCTTCAGGAGCAGGGTTAAGAATAAGGCAAAAGAGCACGGTAACTCAGTATGTCAACCATACCAGCTACACATGGTGGGGAAAACCGTCGTGGTTGAAGCTGATTGGCCGGCTCCGGGCGGAGTGGGGGGAGATGAACGAGCATTTGCATTGAGTGCGGGCTTCCAAATATTTGACAGATAATAACCATTGTCTCGGTTGAGGTTATGTGGACATTTATGGATTTCAATAGCTTCACGGATTTTCCGGTCATAGAAATGTGGTTCTTTGGACAGAACTTGGGAATTTTCAAATAGGATGGTGTGACCGGTTGACATACTGAGTTACGGTGCTCTTTTGCTCATGAAGATGCCACTTACGAAAGTGTGCGAAACGTTGAGCCCAAAAACTCAATTTACACGGTTCCAACCCGAAAAACGATCATGTATTGATTCCGACCGTGCAAGTCTCCGAAATTATTATAATATGTATTTGATTTGATAAATTAAATTGGTAAACATACTTTTTTCCCAAATATGTTCTTTCCACTTGGTTCTAAAGTACAAAATTTCCTTCATTGTAAAAGAAATTCATTCATATTAAATAACCATCGCTACGTTGCAATTTTTACTTCATAGCGGTCAGTACTTGTTTCTTCCACAAACGTAAACTCTCCGTAAGAGGTGTAATGTAACTACTTGCTAAATAAAAAAAGGGTGTTTAAGTATGTCTTTCTTTCACGAAACAAACACGTTTACAGACAAATCGTAATAATCATACTTGAATCACTTAAATATAAGTTTGTTAATATTTTCAGCAAGCTCCGGTTGCTTAATAATGGTTGCGTGATCACCTTCCACTGTAGTTACAGATACTGGTTTTTCGCACAACTGCGATAATTGGTAATCTTCTTGTTCTTTCATCAGTGGATACCTGGCTTTGAATAAGTGTACTTTAGACTTAAGTTTCTTATTAATGCCTCTATAATTTAATATTGCTTTGAAACGCGCGTATAACGTGAAGGCACCTTGTCGATCCAATTTTTGCTTTGTAGCTTCATCCGTGGGTATCAGGGTTAAAGCAAGATTAATTCTGTCGTCAAAGTTTTCACATTTTAGAAGTTTTTCCTTAAAAGCGACTAATGAGCTGACGCTGATGGTAGCGTTTTATATTTACCTTATGGGGTATAAGTGATTCGAAGGGAACCAGAAGAGTTAAGATTTTGTACAATAGAACAGTTTGAAATTCTTCTTCATTATTTGCAGAAAAGTAATCTCTTGCTGAAGAAATTAAATAAGCAGGAGACCCTTCTATTGCAAGGACTGTACCAAGATAACCCTTTTCCTCTAGTATATGGGTTACTTCTAAACTAACAGCTGTCCCAAATGAATAACCAATCAAGCAAAAGGGAACATTTTTGGATAAATATTGTTCGATATTCTGAAAATAAATTTGATGTAAAGTTCATTTAATTTGGTAACTTACCGAGACAACGTTCTTTGAAATTTCTTGAATCGTTTCTTCAGGATTATAGTAGCTGTATTGTACTCCTTGCACATGAGCTTTCAATTTTTGTGACAATGCTTCCATAGGTTGTAACACTCCTTCAATACCCGGGAAGAAAAATACTGTGGGAGCTTCTTCGTTAACCTTTACCGCACTAGGTAACTTTAGAAGAAGCGACTGGCTAGTTCGCCTCTCAGGGATGTGTCTCAGAAGCATATTTGCTCCTTGTTCTGTTTTCTCACTGACTTTATTTTGACTACTTCTTTCTGTATCAAACGTAATCAACCTAAAATCACACTCATTACGCTGAAATATCAACGCAAACCTTGTTTTATATACTTTGCAAATGTTATACTCCTCATATCTTGCGCTGTTAGATAAATTTCAAAATCTTTCTCTAAAATTTGTACTATTTCGGTACCCATCATAGAATCCATTCCAAGCTCAGCCAACGTCGCGTGTGGACTTACGGTTTTGATGTCTTTTAAACCCAGAATGTGGGCAACTGTTTCGACAACACTGTCACTACCATAACTTCTATTAAATTTCTCAGCTACCACCATACTCGCAACGACGGCGTTATCTTGCCTCAAAAACGTGTCTAAAACTTTGAAACAACTCGATATTTTTTGTTGTAATGTGCCACCGATCACAAGTTCTTTGTTTTCCTTTTGAAGTTTGGCAACCAAGCCAACCTGTAAAGAGTAGTTTCCTAAATGAGTGGTTTTAGTAGAAGTAGTGGCACACACCTCTCCAATTGCTCCCCACTGAATAGCAAGGGCTGGAAAACCGTCCCGTTTTCGCTTTTCGCAAATCCTCTCCATAATGGAGTTAGCCATGCCGTAGTTACTTTGACCGGCATTTCCTCGTCCACAGGAAACTGAAGAAAATACTACAAAATATCTGAAGAAGAAAGTCAACAGTTGGGCTTTTTTCAAAAACTGACCTTAAAGTTGGACATAAGTTTCTTGTAGCTTGGTCTAAATGCATTGTGGCTTGCGCTTTAGGCGCTAAAGAGGCGAGGAAAGTTTTTTTCGTCTGGGTTTCTAGAAGTCCGTCTTTGAGTTCGACTCCTAAATTGAAAATAGCATCTATAGGTCCCATTTTAGATGATTCGTTTATTAAATCTGTGCAGCCTTGGTGGTTGGTAACATCTGCAGTGGAAATGCGAACGTCGACCCCGTAGGACTTCCAAATTCTAAATTTGTTTATATAGAAAATGACTGTATTTATAGTTAAGTCCTACCCTAGTCTTTGCGTTTGGTACCCGGTTCGTACTCCCGATCTTGAAACTAGAACCACTTTGGTAGCTCCTCTCATAATTAACCAGTCACACAACTCCATGCCAATTCCGCCTAAACCACCAATAATAATGTAACAGTATCTTACGTCGCAGCCAAATCTATAAAAAAAAGGTATACTGGGTGTTCTATGCAAGATTTATCATCACCTTGGAGTAACCAGAAATTTCGTTGTTTCGGGAACAACGGATCTGTCTTTTTCCTCATCTCGAATCTTCACTAAGACCTTTCCTATGTGTTTACCGGTCATCATAAATCTGTAAGACTTTTCTACTTCTGTAGGCTGAAATACCACCCTAGGTAGAGGTTTAATAAATCCTGTCGTGAGACCATCGTTCAGAGCTTTAGCAATCTTCTCCTTATTCTCTCTAGAACTTAGGAAAACTTGATCTAACATTATTCCAGAAAAGTGTGCCTGTTTTTCCATGACCAAAAGCTGAAGAGAGGTATTATTAGACAAATCAAACTTTCCGATTTCCATAAACCGGCCACCACGTGCTAAACATCGAATGGAAGCTTTAAGCTTATCGTCACTGAGAGAATTCAACACAATATCGACTCCCTGTCCTTCTGTTTCTGTTTTAATCATATCTTCGAAAGACGTATCATGTGAATTGCCGATGTGATTACTTGGAATATGTGGGTAGTGTTTCCTCAAATACGTTTTTTTATCTTCAGTGCCAACTGTTACATAGATATCACATTTATAGTGAGTGCAAATATTTAGAGCTGCTAGTCCAATACCACCAGTTGCGGAGTGTATAAGAATCGAGTTGCCAGGTTTCAATTTGTGGACCTTAAAAGCCAAAATTGAATCGGAAAATTTACGTTGATTTAATTTACCACTAGAAGAGCATACAAAACTGTACAATAGACAACAGGAATTGTAGCTGCTTCTTCGAGACTCCACGCATCAGGTACTTCCCATAGGAAAGTACAGTCGGCTGCAAGGTAAGTAGACAATGCTCCGGTGCCCACTATACCCATTAGTCGACGTCCACTGTAATTTCGAGCTGTACATATTTTGCTTACAATGTGTGTTGAAAGATACCTTAAATCTCGTCCAGAGAACTCAAAACCTAACACACAATCTTGTTTCAATCGATCGGTTGTCAAAGTTTCCAAACTGACGCGTCCTAGGGCTGCCATAATGTCTTTGAAATTGACCGCTGAATAATAAGTCTACAAAAAATACTCATGGAGGTTTCTAGACTGCTTGGATTACCTACTTTGATCAAAATTTTGTCTTTTGGTAAAGGCGTTTCTTCTCTTAAGGTACCTTCGAGCCATTTGAAACTGGAAATGTCTCCTATGTTCATCACATTGGCGTAACAATATTGACATTCAACTTCAGGTGTTTGTTCTAACCGTAGATGTCGATAAGTACCCCAATTCTTATTTTTGTATATGTTTACAGCCAAATTTTTTCTGACTTGGTCCTGATAAAATTCACTGTTTGGGTCAAACTTTGGAGCTTCGTCCATTAAAAAGAAACACTTGAGCTTGTGTCCATTTGGTTCGCGTCTGATGCAATTTATTAGCCCTAATACACCTTCAGGTTGTTCGTCTACAGAGTAGACTACTATATTGGAACCATCTTTCAAAGATTTTTGGACTTCAGGCAACCAGTTTAGGTCGTTTGAACAAACAGGAATGAATGTCGTCTCGACAAAATTTTCATTTTTCTTTAACAAGATTAATTTTTCGTTAGATGTAGTGTATTCTGTGACGATTTCCAAGTTTTCGTCAAGTTCTGGTGCACTGCTGAGTTCTTCTCTCGTCAAAACAAACCCGTTTTTCTGGAGAGAAGTCAAAAGTTGTTTTAGATTTGGTCGTTGTAGAAGCTTGGTACCAATAATGAGGAGGATCTTACTTTGATGCGTGAGAGTAATATCTTCCACTTTTACACCCGGAATATCTTCCAAAGGAATTTTAGAAGGGATAGTAAGATCAGGAGAAATCACCGGAATGTCGTCCAAAGCATCACACACAAATTTGAGTAAATACTCTGAACACGAATCTGTGAACTCGTCAACGATTTCTACAGCTTTAAAGTGAGTTTCTAAGCTGTTCTCCAAAATGATTTGAACGTTAACTCGGATGGCTGTAGCCACATCCAAAACGGAAGAGTTAGAAACGAAGATGTGCTTTTCTAAAACAGGCTCCAGTTTGGGTTTCTTTTTGAAAATAGATTTAGCTTGCAGTCCAGAAACTTGAATACCGCCTGAGCTGATTTGTAAAACACGATTAAGTTGAGCGATGGTTCTACAATTGGTTTACTTACGTGACTATGTCGCAGTCCTTATGAACGTACACAGGTAGAATAGGTTCTTCTGCTTCTAGCTTAGTAACGCCTCGTAGATGTTGTTCAGGGTCTATAACAATTTTTTTGATACCAACAGGAACATATAGTAATCTAGTGTCTTCCCGGAGGATTCTCATTTGAAGCATGGTATCTATAAAGGTGCCCCAGTTCTCTGTCCACTTAAGGAAACCAACAGAAGCCTCACTGTTACATTTCTGAATACCTTTAAAGAGACCACTGCAAGAATACATTAAATACTCGTGCCTAGCTTAGTACTTGCCTGTAGTTGTAACCGCGCAAGGTTAATTCTCTGTAAACTTCATCCTGTTCTAAAATCTGGGTAGAATCTGTATCGTCCCAAGTGTGTGGTTTAAGATCTACCCAGTGTGTAGTCACATCTTCAACAGCTCGAATGCGTCCAGTAACAACAACAGAATTTTTTTCAAAAATTTCGAAATTTCCACTACCTCTTTGGATCATCACGAGAAGTTTCAAAAAACCGCTTTTAGGCATTATGATGGCCCTCTTGAATTTACAGTCTTCAAAAACTACTGCCAGATCGTTTGTTAGTAGTCGTCTACTTTGGGCGAAAGTGTGCCAAACAAGATATAAGTATTCAGCAGCGGGGATAAAGTTGCGGCCTGAAATATCTAGTTTTAGAAATCTGTGTTATCTTCAAACTGCATAACGACCGTCAATAATATGTCCAGCTATGTATTTATACTCATTCTCCAAAAATGAAATGTTATACTCCATTTGTTCACTATCGGTTGCTCTGAACTCACTAAATTTGTAGATATACCAGCTTTTTCTGTGGTCCCATTGTACTAAAGGTGAGATCATGGGGGTGTTTCTGCTGACTGGAAATTCAGTTGGAGGGTATAGCCTGTGCAATTGAGGAATGTGGCCCTTTTCGTACAATCTACAATATTATGTATAAAATTCCTGTTGTATGTATGTATAAAGAGTACCTTCCCAGAATATTAAGAAAATTAACCCTGTTCCCTTCTACCAAAAGAACATCTATGTTGTTCAAATGCGAGTCCGATACGTTCAAAACGAAAGAATTTTTCGGTAGCTTGGTAAAATTATTGTAATCAAACGAGTCACCTTTTAAATTTTTGCGTCGTGTTTTACTGATGCTCTTTAACATAGTTTCAAAGTAAACATCTGGATTAGTTGAACTGCTGACTTCTAAAGCTGCTGAAACTGTTTCTTGTAAATTAGTAACTTGATAATAGTATGCATTCACAAGTCTTCCGTGATAACTGCCATAAACTGCTGTCGGATGTAATTCCAAACTCTTTATAATGTCTATTATACCAATCTGTAAACAAATTGAGCCCCAAATTTCTTCCTTTTTCGTACGACGCTCTAAAATCTCTTCAAATGTTTTCATTTTTTCTTGTGACAGTATTTTGTTGATCCTTCAACAATAGTATTAACGGAGTGTCTAAAAGTGGTGCTAAATTTACCTTGAAATTGTGTCCCTAAAAACTGGAAATCCCATAAAATATGACCCGAGTAGCGCGAAACTGTCAATAATCTCGCCAAAAACTAGATACAGTGGTGAGATCCGAGAATTCCAGAATTTCGACGAAGTTGCTATGGAACCACTTTTGGATAAAATCGTGTAACCTCTGTAAAGGTGGTTGCGGATATTGTTTTTAAAAATTTGGTGGAACAGTGCCACATGTTCGCAATCCAGACTTAAATTCTCTAGCATGTTTTGGACGGCTGTCTCAGAACGTCCACTTACACACACCAGTCTGGGAATATCGTCATCAGGTAAACCATAATTCGTTTTTCCTTTCCCAAATCTCTGCACAATCGCATGTCCATTGTTGCCACCAAAACCAAAATTATTTATTCCAACTATGGCTTCTTCACCTTCTAGTTCAGTAGCTTCGGTTACTACTTTCATCCTTCCTTCTTCGAATCCCTTCATTCCCTTTTTAACACGTTTCAAGTTAATATTAGGCGTGATGTACCCTGTTTCCATAGCAAACAGTACTTTGATGAGAGAACAAATACCAGACGCTGGTTCAGTGTGACCAATACTCGACTTCACCGAACCCACCAGAAGCTGCTTTTGTCTTTTCCGAGCCAACGCCGAATCTATGGCTTCCACTTCCTGCGGATCACCCACCTGAGTACCAGTGCCATGTGCCTCCAAAAAGCTCAAATCAGAAGGGTGGACGTTGCTGTCTTCGTAGATTTCCGTCATAAGTTTGAGCTGGGCTAACGTCGAAGGAAACGTAATTCCTTGGTCTTTAAAACCATCACCATTCACTTTAGTGTTGATAATTTTTGCGTAAATCCGTCTAGAGTTTTTAGCCTTTTGCAGAAATACGCAAGCGATAGTTTCACTTCGAACGTAACCACTGGCATCTTGATCGAAAACTTTACATTTACCGTCGCTGCTTAACACACCTAAGCTATAATTGTCTAGTTAAAGTGGTGTAATTCTAGTGTGAAAGACAAACCGAAAAAATTGGAGAGAAATGCCAGGATGGAGTAACAAATTGGTGCCGCCCACCAAAGCGTAGTCACATTGTCCGCTTCTAATGGCTTTGAAAGCGGCGTCAAGGGCATTGAAAGAACTACTGCAAGCAGTATCTGAGTTGAAAACGGGACTTTTCACCTTCAAGTAGTAGCTGATTCTTCTAGATATTAAAGATCGAAGGTATCTGAAACGTACAAATTAAACAACTATGTTTATCACAGTCGAATTGTTACCCCGTTATGGCAAAACTTTGTTGTTGAGTTACATTAACGTAAGTGTCGACTTCCATGTCCGACCACGAAGTACTAATGAACACTCCAGTTCTGGTTCCTTCCAGTTCTACCGGATTTATTCCTGCATCCATAATAGCTTCTATTGCAGTTTCCATGAGGACTCTCATCATGGGATCCATGATATCGGCTTGACGATGATGTACCCCAAAATATCCAGCATCATATCGATCGACGTCGGGAATTTTGGCTGTTCTTTTAGGGATCTCTGGATGCCGAACGTTCCATCGTCTCAAATCGTCACTAACCATTTCAATTTTGTTGAATAAGTTGTTCTTAAAGATTTGGAGATTGTTTGACTCGGGAAGACGCCCCGACATGCCCGAAATAACCACTTCGTCTCCGGGGGCAGGATTGGATAACCATTGTCCATATAGGTAGTTAGGGTCGTCGGAATCTCGCTTTGGTACTTCGTAGTTAGCCATTTTAAATAGCTGTTAAAAATTGTATGTTGGTTACAGGTAGTGAAAATATTATATTTAAGCACAGTTAGTTATTAGCCGGTGCTGCACCAACTGAGCCAATAAGTCATTGGAATAAGTTGTTTTATAAAATTTAAATGGCATTTACCAAGCAAAATTTTCAGGTGACGCCATCAAGTTGTTTTTGGGGATGATCAGAAAAATTTTTGTTAACGAGTTCTTTTGCGATCTTTGTTTTATCATCTTATGTAAATAGTGTCTAACCAATTAAAAAAAAAAACTAATGTCAAAAACTCGTCGGGGCCACGACTAAAGCATCACACTGATAAGCAACGTGCAAAAACACGTCGTGTGTTCGGTTAACGTCTTTGACAACGGTGAATTTTTCCAATTCAAAGCGTGTCGACATGGTAATGTTTTATGGTGTGGTTGATGGAAACGCCAGGTTGGCTTATCTCATCTGCGTGGACATTTACATTAATAGTACAACATCTCAAAGAATACTGCAAGCTGAAGAACAAATTTTCTAACGCGTTGAAGAACATTCCGACGTCAGTACCCTCCGACTTGCAGCTGAAGTTGGAGTTTCACAGTCTGTAGCGCGTCGTACATTAAAACAACAAGGCCTACGTCCATGCCACATTCAAAAAGTGCAAGCTTTGTAGCCCCCTGATTTTCCACGTCGTGTAATTTACTGCGTATAGTTGTTACAGCTATATCGTGAACACCCTAACTTTTGCATTCTATTTACGGATGAAGCAGGATTCACTCGCAATGTTGTTTTCAACAGCCACAACACCCATATTTGGTGCGATGAAAATCCATACGGTAGTCAAGAAGTGCGATTTCAACGAACTAACCAGTGGGTCGGAAGAAACGACCCAGTAGCTTCGCCTCCGCGTTCACCCGATCTCAACGCGTGTGATTTTTGTCTGTGAGGTTGGATGAAGCAGTTAGTTTATGGAAATCAACAGTGTCCAGAAACTATTGAAGAACTGCAACAACGGGTGGAAGTGGCAGCCGCTACAGTTCGTGGAACTTCAGGAGTTTTTTTACGAATCTGTGTAAACACGTTGCAACGTGCTGAAGCCTGTATTGCTAGTCAAGGACAACAATTTCAACATTTATTGTAAAAAGGTAGTAGCATTCTAAGTTGCTCTTATTATTGTTCTAATAAACAATGTGGAATGGTTGTGCCAATGACTTGAAGTGTGACAAAAAATCGGTCCTTCTCAGGACCACCATTTGTTTCGAATAATCTTTAGCTGTGGGTTTGGCCTCATTCAACTTTTAATTTGTTTTTGCTATAATTCCACATTACTACGGTACGTATGCCGCGGTTACAATCATTGCAGCTTGTAGATACATACAAATTTTTCAAGATTGTCGTTGTAATTGGAAAATATGTGTAAATATTTTAAAAGTTCTTAAAAATTATCTGAACCATCTTAATTCTATTTAATAATAAGTTTCTATGTTTACACTATCAATGAAGTAAAGATGAAGTTCATTTAAAAGTTTATTCAATATAAAAATAAACTTACCGCTGGTCTCAGAATTTATACACTACACTGGCTTTCATAAACAACCGACGGTTTTGTTTGTCATTTCTACATATATATACCCGGAAATTAGAGGGAGTGGACGAAAAAGGATACAATGTTCCACCGGTGTAACTAGTAGGGGAGACTGGAGCTGCAAGTAGGTAGCAACTTAGCAAACCACTAAAATTTTATTACAACCAACTTAAGAAAATCTATACCTACTGCTAAATATTTAAGAAAGAAAACAAAAATGAAACAAACAAGGCTATCATGAAACCACAATAAAATGGAAAAATGGAAAAAATTAAAATACAATGGATAAAGTCTATATGAGCAAAACAGCTGCAATAATATAATTCTTCAAAAAATTTTGACTTCCGTGTAAGACATTTTGGCAAAATTGTCCAAATCGTGATTTTCTGTGAAAATCGTTACACGACTTTTTAAATGTTATACTATTATTTTACATTGCATTTCGACAGCACAAAATTAAAAGAAAACAGCATTCTTCATTATTATGGAAACGCGTGACTTGTTCCCGTCTACTTACCTTCCTCTATTTCAGACTTGTTTGTTTCCTGTTTAAACCTGAAACGAAAAGTGCTACTTTGTTTTCATTGATTGTCCAGTTGCATTATAAAATAAGGCATTGTATTCATTGATTCATTCCATTCTATGCAAAAAAAATCACGTGAAGTCATTTCAATACAAAATGAAAAAACAAAACAAATATACATTGTTTAATATTCATCGAAATATTAAAGGATGACAACATTATTGATGTCATTGGGCGATGCCTAAGTTTAGCTATGTCAAGGTCCCTCTGCTTCGTTGAAAAGGTTTTCGGATACTTTGATTAAATAACAAATCAATAAGCAGTAAAATCTTCGAATAAAGAGATGATTTCGAACAGGGCAACCAGTTTGCTGCTGGTTTTTTCCAACACCGACGGCATGCGGTCCTATTCTTCATTTCGAAAAGAATTTGACATACATTGAAAGCAACTGAGAAGCACGTGATGGAACTGGGCCTTAGACACAGATTCGCTCATTTTGATTGCAGCGTTATTTGCAAAAAAATAAAATACGTTTGGTCCGAACGATGTTGCTGAAGCAAGTGTTGTTGTTGTTAACATTCCAGATACGAAAACCAAAAGTCCTAGAATATTTAGAGTTGTCGATGACGAGAGCAAGCACACACGTTATTTACAATTATACAGGATGTTTAAAGACCTAAGACCAAAGAACGTGCCAAACGTGCCACACAAAAGATTTTTTATTAATTACAAGCGTAACAGATGAACTGTGTGGAAAAAAATAGCTACATTCTTACAGTTACCAGATTTTGCTCTACATATACACACGACATTGCTTTCGCCGCTCCTTGGCGTCATTTTTAGTTAACGGCGGTGTAGATGTACTAACTTTAAAGATTCACGGATGGAAGTCATCTACTGTTGTGGAGGGCTACGCAGGGGAATCATTGACCAAAAAAAGTTTCTAAGAAGATTTTTTCTTGTATTGATGAAGCGGCGGCAAATACTTCAAGAAATACACCCATTGCAAGCGAAGAAGTGTCTTTTAGCTCTGGCTTTGGAGAAAATATTGAGTGTTTTCCTGTGCCTTTTTGGCGCCAACACAATTTTGTCCCATCAATCACCCGGTGAGTTTGTTCCGACATCGAGAGTTTTTATCTGCTATCAATCTCGTTTTTAACAATTTCTTTGTGATTAGCACGTGTACTTTTTATCGATGCCGCTTCGAATTCCTGGTACAGTTGCACATTAAACCCAGGAGGGTTTGGTGTGCAATATGGCTATCAAGTGCAGGAAGTGTAACAAGAATATTAATATTAATATTATTATAAATTGTCGTAAACAATGCGGAGCCAATTATCATATTGCTTGTGTAAAGCAGCTTGGAATTCGATGAAAGAGACCGGTCTGTTAGACTCTTGGGGTTATGGACTATGTAGTCGATTTACCCTTAAAACAACGAGTGCAGCTACTGATAAAAATGCATGCGATATGGCCCTAAATGTTTTACTTGCTGATGCGGTGCAAAATCTGTCTGAGATTTTCAAAAATGTTATTGCAGATTTTAGTCGCATTGTTCTTGATAATGTTTAGTCAACAAATTACGGACCTAAAACAAGAAAATACATTACTGCATGATAATTTTTCCAAGTTTTGTCAACAAATTACTGATTTAACAAATGAGAATTTACTGTTACGTGCTGAAGTTCATAAGTTAACTGAAAACTTCCTGTTGATATGTTGAGTAATACCAAGGAACATGACAATGCTCATTCATATGCAGACACCCTTGAAAAGTGTTCGACAGTTATTGTGAAGCCTAAGGATGATAAACAATCTTCTGCAAAAACTAAATCTGATATAAATACAAATATTGATCCGCTGAGATTTAAGCTTGACATCTCGAAGATTAAAAATATTAAAAACGGTGGAGTACTTCTCAATTGTCAGAATCCTAATGAATTGATGAAGATAGCACAGCAAAAAAAAACTGGAGGAATCTTATGAAATCAGTAATTTAGAAACACTTCAGCCATGTCTACGTATTGCAGGCATTTCCGAGGATATAGGAGAACAACAAATCGTTCCGTTCTTGATCAAACAAAATAAGCATATCTTCTTTGAGGAGTTTTCTTCACACCTCGTACTTGTCTTTTACAAACTTCCTTAATTTGAAACAATTTAACTGCATAGTTAATCATATGGCTAGGATGTCAGGTGTAGTTTAATTTAACATCTCATGGCAAGTTGTTAGAGCTAGCGATGAAGATAAGTTTCATCCAGTTTTTGAGATTACAGGTGATATTATAAGAATTAAAGGTGATATATTTCCAGTTACTGGTTCATCCAGGTATAATTTTAAAAAGGCTAATTTTCTTTCGTTATATCATGACATTGCTTCCTTAAACTAGTCCTTCTTTGACGCAAGTGTTAGCGTTGAAGTTGCTGTAGCCAACTTTTACGAAAAATTCAAAGCAATTTTTGACAAGCGTGTTCCTAAAAAGTCAAGGTCTTTGGGTACATATCTATTTTGGTTTACCAAAGAAATGATATTGCTTATAAAGTAGAAGCATAAATTTTGGGTAAAATTTAGAAAAAATAAAAGACAGGTGGATTATGAGGAATTTAAGAAATTGAGATCCAAGATAAAGTCTTTAAGTTATTCTGCATATAACAACTACATGAAGAAACTCAATATAGACATTAAATCTAATTCTAAACGGTTCTGGAGTTACGTAAATTCATTAAATAAAAGGACTTCCATCCCCTCCATCGTGTGATTAGACGGTGTTTTGGTCTCAGGTCAACAAAAAATTGTTCAATCCTTTGATATTTTTCTAGCTCATTTACAAATACAGTGAAACCTGTCTATGCCGGACTCTGTAGAAGGCGGAAAACTGCTCATCGCGGAAATTTTCAAATACCCAATTTAATGTATTTTGCAGTGGCGGCTCGTCAGGGGGGGACAGTTAGGCCAGGCCGAGTCTGTCTGTCACCGAACTTGTCAATTTGCGATATTCATTTTTATTTTAAACGCAAGAATATAATTTAAAGCTATTTTGAAATCACCTGATTTTACTGTTGTTATTATTTTTTTAATTACAAAAAGCGTTATCTAATTTATTCACTTTCGTTCGGAAGCACAAATCGTGCCGGGAAGTTTAAATATTTTTACTGCGAGGAGCAGCAGCTGAGGCCGGCCGACTACAAGAATAAACGTCGAATAATGTCATATCTGCTATCGCTCTCTGTTTAGCGGAATTAAAGAGAAATAGCTATAAAGACTGATACGTGTCTGATACCCTCTGATTAACGCGCCTGCAGCAGTGATTGGTCAAATGTCTGCTAAAATCGGCCGGCCTTTTGGCAGTACATCAAGTTGTTATAGCGCTATCACCTTCTGTTTGTATAAGTTAGAAGGCAATAGCGATGAAACCGTACAATATTACGTTTCATCACTCCACTTCTGCCGTGCACTTTTCCATGCGGTTCCCCACTACCAGCACCGGCCGGCCGCTGTCTGTATATTGTGAATTTCTGCAGTCTTCACGTGGATGAAATTGGTTTAGGTTTGTTTCTAATTTCAGTAACAATGACAACAGTTAGTAAGAGAATTAGTAACTGATTTAAATTTTGATGCTGTTACACATCTATTAAATAATGACTTTCGACTTTTAACATGCGATGATCAATTCCTGGGATATAAAAGAAATGACCCGTTCGGAGCCGCCCATGCAACATTTAATCGAAGCACGGAGCAATAATAACGTCAGCTCCGGTGCAATAGCATATTAATAATTAATAATTAATACAGCATGGTATGAAAATTATGAATGGCTGACGGGGAGCAAGTCAAAAAACAAACTATTTTGTTGATATTGTTTAATTTTTGAATATGATGTTGACAATAAATTCAAAAAAACTTCAGAAAAAGAGTTTTGCCTCTGGTCGTCTGGTACGATTGACATATTGAGTTACCGTGCTCTTTTGCCATCTTCCTAATTTCTCAACCCTGCTCCTGATGATGCTACTTACGAAAATGTAGAAGCCTCCGAAATTATTTCTGTCTTTAATTTTAATCATATACCTACCATCCACATCAGCATATGTTGAACGCAGTTTTTCAGCTTTAAAGCGAATTACAAATTTTACTAGAAACTCCATTAATCAAAATCGATTATCCAAATTATTCGTTTTAGCAATAGAAAAAGAAGTGCTTACAAACTTAACGGAAGATCAAAAGTTCTATAATCAAGTAATTGACCACTTTGCCAATACAAAACAAAGACGCATTGAATTGGTTTATAAAAATTTCTAATTTACTTTTTTAATTTTGTTTTTTACTAATAAATAGTTGTTGACGTTTCATGTTATATTTTTTGTTAGAATGTGTTACTTTATAACTTGAATGTTATTTTCATTTTTATTTGAGTTTATTGTCGTTATTTTATTATTATAGATGGCTTATATTGTATAAGTATATGCTTTACTTTATACCTATTTGAAGAATATTTTTTATTTTGTTTTAC